CAGAAAACAAGGGTGCTTGCGTGCTCATTGGAGCGGAAGGGAGACATATATATATATATATTGTATATACTGTTATTACAATCACATTCACATACATATACCCTCCGTTTGTCTCACTGAGTCGCGGAAGTGGATGGCACGGAGTCTCCGACAGGAATAGACCGGAGGAAGACCACGGTCCTTTTATAACAAGGAGAGGAATGTCCAATTCCAGTGAGTCGGCGTGTATTAGACATAATACTGCATGAAATGAGTAGGTACGGCCGACCGGGCCTCGGCTGTTGGGGCCTGGCCTCGGCTGTTTGGGCCTGGCCACCACATATGGGGTTCCTGAATGGAGAGATCGCAATCTTCCCAATTAAAAAGAACAAACCCATCCAAAATCATTTAAACAGAAACGACTCATGACTCATGACTATACTATATATATTTTTTAAAAAATTGGTAAATCACGCTTGCTTGAGTGATTCGTCTCTCTCTCTCTCTCTCTTTCTCTCTCTCTCTCTGACTCTCTCTGACCTCGCTTGAACAAACTTTTGGATGACACCTGGCAATGACACAGCTCTCAGGTTGATTTGTCCGGTGTGCCTGAGCTTCTTTGGCTTGGCCTGGTTCATTTTCAAGCTGCCTGGGCGCAAGATCTCAAGCGATAAGCTCTTCAACCTGTGTGCCTTGGCAAGAGATGGAGGGGTAGGGCCGTGGCTGCCAGGGTTACATTAGACTGTTAGACCATCCAAACCTTGAAGGCTCCACTTCGGAGGTACTGAGGTAGTTCAAACCGGGCATCGTGGCACTTTCAACCCAAAGATCCCGTTCGGAGCCATCGTTCCGGAGCCACGTCCAAGTGGTGGAGGAAGGACCCGGAGCCATCGGACGGCCAGCTCTCCGTTGATGGCTCCGGTCCACCCTGACTCACATGGAAGCGGAAAAGGATTTCGAAAAGAAGACCACTTGCCTCTACCAACAGGGGGGTGCCTTTTCACGATTTGTGTGCGTTCTGGAGTGCATTTGATTTGGCGTTCGAACGCCTCGGCCAGTGAGGTGGTATCCTGGTATTCGCCCTCTTCATTTCGCTGACCTTGGCCGTTCTGGACCCGCTGCAATGCCAAGACAATCCAAATGGATCTTCCTCAATGGTCTCCAACCCGGGAATTATTTGCTTCAACTCGGCAGAGCACACCGGACCACTTGAATTTGCTTCAAGAAAGTTTTGCAAACATGTATTTCTCTTCAACCTTCGGTTTACTCATGACCTTCGGCAAGTTCGAACAACTTGACATTATGTTTGACGGCTTCGGCTTTCATGAGCTTGTGATGAAGAACTCTCAGACTCTAACATATACAGCGGTTGTTATTCTCTGAGGGAGGGCCTGAGCCAACAGACAGAATGAACAAAACAACACAATGGGATGTGCAAACATGGTTTGTTGACCTGGTTTTTAATGCGAAGGTGGGATGTCAGGGTGAAAGATTGAGAGAAGCGACGTAAACGGAGCGATTTGGCCAATCCAATCGTCCTTTTCTTGGATGCGTCAGCAACGTCATTCGCCCAAGTGACGTCTCTCAGTGAAGCACGGAACCCTGAGAACTTCAAACAACTCGACGTTCACAACTTCCACGCAGAATTAGACGTAGACACTATGTTTTTATATGTTTTTGGAACTATTTGTTGTGCGACCGCTGCTAATTCAAGTTGTTCAGATCTTCACAGGACCCTCGGACCTACGGCCTTGTTGGCCGTGGGTCGTTTGCGAACGGTGCTCCGTTCGCGGTCCGTGGTGTGATTCGTTTTGACATGGGGGGCGACAGTGGTTTCTTTAGAGGGGCGACAGTGGTTCTTGACATAGTGTTGGACATCCCTTCGATTCAGTTGTGGTGGTTCCTGAGGCTTGGTCATTCTTTCTGCCATTGGACTTCTGTGCTATCCGGTCGCCATTTTGACCTGGGCCAGCTATACCACACTGCAGTACCCGGCCCGGGTGAACTCGGGTCAAGGCTTGCGTCTTGCGGCTCGGCAGGAGCGTTGGCAAATCATTCTCATGTACTGTAGTAACTGTAGTAGTGGATCTGCATTTTAAGGACACCAAGGTTTGTGTATGCATATTGGATATATGCATATGTCATTTTTGGATTTGCATTTTGAACTCACAAAGCTGTGGCTGAATAGATAACCATGGCAGTAACAGTCAGTAGAATATTACAAACAGTTTTGGGGAAGGCCTTTAGTAACCATCATCATCCATTGTTACATGAGAGATGCCGTATGCCCAAGATGGATTTATTCATTTCTGGCACGCCCACATTGGCAGCCAGCTCGGCTGTCAGAGAGAGGCAAAGACAGAGGAAGAGACCCAGGAGGTCCAATTGCTTAGTCAGCCAGGCGTAAGTTCGCTCCGATGGCTGTGACCTGGAAGGGCTTGAATCCCACAAGCAAGGACGGTTGGATGAGAATTCGGTTGTAGCGATGTAGCGGGCAAATGAGGCAAAGACCAACAACTATGCCGTAGGGTATGGCAGCACCGGAAACACTCCAACTGTTTGGCTAAAAACGGCACATGAGGTGCACCGTCACCGCTTTCTCTTCCAGCGCTTCAAGCCAGATTGCTACTACTACGGACAGCCGAGCGTCGTGTTTTGGGCTTTTCTTTCCGCTTGTTTTTCTCTTTCAACGGTTCAGTGCTTGTCCTGGTCTTTTTCTCCCAGTTGAGACGACGGAGCTACAGCAAAGCTGCAAGCTTGTTCACCAGCGGGACCTCCAACGACCCCGGGTTATAGAGAAGAATCCTGTTCCAAGCACCTTGGACTTGAGGGCCCCACGTCACAAGATCCTGCAGTAAGCGGTGAGATAATGAAGGTTTTGACTCCAGTTTTGGGCCGAAGCTTACGTAGTTTTTGACAAGGACTACAATTATACTGTGTGTTTGATTCTGGGTGGGTTTTGATTTCTTGGGGGCATTCCACCACTTTGCATTGCATAAAAGAGGATGGAAAAATGTTCTTGGTGACGGTTTGACATGCGATCCACCTTCGTTCAAGCAACCGCTTGGAAGGATTGATTTTCCCTGTGTTGGACAAATACATGGAGGCCAAGCAAGAACCCCAACCCCCCAAGAGCCCATGCTGGGAGTCTATATTTGATCGATGGAAGTCCTACTTTCCCTTGGCATTGCTATTGGTCCGCCAGCAGTAGATGATCAGGGTCAGCTTCTTGAACCTCACACACATGTCCCACCCCAACTCCTGCCATGGTGAGGATGGCTGCTGTTGGTGAGGAATTCGTTGGTGGCACTTTTCCCCGTGATGTTGCTCGGATCAAGTATACAATACCGCGAGCGGCTCAGGGGCAGCAGCAAAAAAGCCTGCCCAAGTTGAAACTGCACCTACAGACACACATACACACACACACACATGGAGTGATGTCCTGGTGATCACCATCGGTGGCCGAGGGTTTTGTTCAGTTGCAGGTTTCCAGATTCCAGAGTGCCAGAGAGCATGTTTTTTGTTCTATAACAATATGATGTATAGTATGTTGTATATACGTATTATGTATTTATACAATAATTCACCACTCGTGGACATACCCACGTCAAGCAGGGGGGCAATGAACACTTTGGAAGGCATTGCCCAACGAAGAGCCTTCCATCGTGTTGTGAAATGACTTTGGGACGCCAAAGTTACATACCTGCATCACCTTTTCAATCACCTCTAAAGTGCTAATGCGCCTGTGTTGAAACATTTCAGTTTCTGCGGACTTCTTCACCTTACCGTTATGCAAGTCAAGGTCTAGTTCCTGCAGCCGGCAATGTATTCACTAGAGTGGAGTGCCTTAACTGACTTACCACTTGCGAGCATCAATCTAAGTGTATGTGTGTGTGTTTGTTGAACACTTTTGCCACCCTTGATGTTGATTGGGATCAGGTCCTGAGCAATATGTGCGCACCAAACGTTCTTTGTTTTGGGGGGGTGTGCTCTTAGCATCTCTTAGCCATGGTGTTTTGAACATTTTGTCGGATTGAACTATGCAACATGCATCTAATTCTGCAGGAGACCGCAGTCCTGGCAAAGCCTTGGGCAGATCATCATGAAGCAAGGATCCTTTCCAGCCCAACCAACCAACCAACCTTTCCAACGTTTTTCCAACGTGGGTGCCCATGGTGACTCTCTTGTGAGTGACCAAAGATGTGGTGCCTCTATTGAATTGTGATAGAGGTGAGATAAAACGTCACGTTCCTTTAATTATATATTGATTTTTGGAACCTTGCTTCAGATCCTTCATGACGCATCATGACGTCTAAATGTTGATCCAGACAATGCTCATACCGGATGCATGTTGGTCACAGTGAAGCCTCGTCCTCGTCCTGTTGGCCTGTGCGTTCGGGATTGCTTGGCACTTGCTACAATCCATTGATCATTGGATCAAGACACCAACCGGTCACCCCAAAAACGATGCACCGGTCATGCCGGCGGCCAGGTTGTTTTCGTTGCCTGAGATTCAGCTGCCGCTCATGGGCGTACTTTTGATGGGATCGGGTGCTCTTCAAATCCGTTGCTCGGACCAGCGCTCGGCGAACAGCCAAACGAGTCGATTGGAGAAGTTGTTTTTTTTGCTTGAGATGGCGCCATTCAGACTAGCAGGCTAGTGAACTGCAAGACAGGAACCTTGCAAGGCATTAGCCTTCGTGCATATTTGGGCAGCCAAATGGACAAATACAAATGACATCAAATGAACACCTTTGGACGTCAATGACACCATGTGAACACCCATGACTGCATCAGCAAGCTTTGGTTCCAATCAATATGGGGGACCCATCAGCGAAGGATTGTATGCCAAGAGCCTGCAGGAACCCGAAACAAGTATCGTTTTGAGTGGCATTATTGTTCGCTTTTTGGTGCTTTTGGGCTAAAGCGATCAAACACATGAAATATTGCGAGGACTGCTTTCATGATGTGGAAACCTACCGGAAATGAGCTGGAGACACTTTTATACTTAAAGAACACAATGCATCCCCCTTGCAATTTCCCCTCAAGAATCAGACAACGCGGGTTGTCAAAAAGCAGGCCATTCTTTAGAGTTCACCATGCATTTTTTTAGAGTGGCAGCGGATCCAGTCTGATTCTTTAGAGGTGCACTTTTTGCCACACGCTCGCGTCTTTCAGCCTGGAGATCAATGCCAATGGCATCCAATGGCAAAGCCTTTATCAAAAGTGAGCATGTCATAACATCACAATGTTCACTGATGATCACTCTTCAAACATTTTCCTATATTTGCAAAGAATTCCTAAAGAATCAGACAGTCCAAGACAGAGGCCGAATTGCAAGGGGGATCAAAATGCTATATTTAGAAACATTACGCAAACGACTAGAATAACAACACAAACGACTAGACTAGAAACACAACGCTGTTGCGTGAACCACCTGAAACAATATGCAAAAAAAACACAACACAAACGATCCAAACAACGACGCTTGCGTCGATCGACGTTCGCATAGCTTCGACGTTCGCATGCTGCTTCGTCTTGCTGGACCGGGTAGACATGAAGCACACGAACGTCCAGGGACGTTTTGTGAACGGTCCCTGTTGCTCCGGACGTATGGAATACATATGTAGAGGCTATGGCCATGTAATTAGGGTGCAGTGCAGTATATAAAATAGTCCTCTTTGGCAAGAAAGCAGCGCAATGATTCCAGCAACCTATATTACGCATGTTTTCTTTCACAGGATCGCCTCCTAGGTGTTTGGCCTTGGCGCACCAAGCTGGCAAACATCATGGACCCTTAGACGGCAGGGAGGGGTTTGGCCGGAAATGAACTCGGCCTTGGGCGATGACAGTGACATCACACACCAGCTGTGACATCACTCGGTTGGGCCCACGCTGTCCGCGGAATGAGGTGTGCAGCCTGCCCAAAAAGACGCCGTGGAAGTGCGCTTGTGTGGTTGAAATGGTTTGGGTGAGGAGGGTGTGTCCAGCACTTCTACCATGCCTTGGAGCTGGGTACCGCACCAATCGAACATAGCCGAAGTTCGAGTTATCGCACATTTCATATCCTCTCCCCCCAAAAAAAACGCCGCTCCGACCAAAAAAGTCGATCGAAAACAGCCGTTCCATGACCCTAGCTAGCCCAGTGTTTGGCGGACTCCAAATCCCGCAAGGATTTGGTCATCACCTGCATCCTTCAGATCCTTCTGCTGGGTATCGCACCGCTGGTCATGCTGACTTCCAGGTCCACCGAGGCACGGGTCGACCAACCGCGCGGTCGGCGGCCTTCGGGTTCGGACGATATATATATATATAATGTGTGTGTGTGTTTCCGTCTTGTTCGGACACGCTGGATGATACGAAGCAACACTTGGCCGGCAAAGCTGACAGCAATGGAAGCACCAATCGAAAACACTCCTGTAGCCAGAAGGATGTCATGGCCCCAATACTCGAGGATGTCTGCACGGCACTGTTCAACTGGACTGGGACGTGTGCTTCAGGATCGCTCCCTTCCCACCTTATGGATTCCTGTCGGCAGTCGCTATGACTTGGGACCAAGGGGTCCAAGTGACAGGGGCAGTCCACCACAGCCAACGGGCAGTCCACCACAGCCAAGTCCACCACCCCAGGTCCTTGGCTGGATCTTGGTGATTGCCATCCTGAGCCCCTTGCTTGGCGGCTTGATCGTCATTACCCATGCTGCCCCCTTGGCTTGAAGTGCTGGGTGAGGGAAGCAGAAGGATGGGAGTATATGGGAGCTAAGGCTCCTGGATGAAGGTCTGGGCAATTGGGGCCATGTAGAGAACTGGAAGCTGTGGCAGTGCCGCTCCACACGGAAAAAAAACCACGCCACGCCACCCACTCGGGCTCAACGTCTCTGACATGATTGAGGGAAAGTCTCCAACACCTAGTGACTGGAGCTTCCTGGTCCGAATTAGCTCCGGAGCTTGAATCGTCGATGTGGGCGGAGGCGAGGTCCATAGTTGGTCTCACGGAAAGGGGTCGATGAAACGCAGGAAGATCAGGAAGACGATGTCTTTGGCGCCGCACCTGAGCATCCACTTGGAAGGTTTTTGTCAGAGATGGGTTTCTTCTTTTCGTGTTGAACCCCCCAAAAGCCACGACAGGGCGACCTTTCTGCCGGACGGATGTGCACAACTCATGGGGAAGAGACCCCCCCACCCAGTGGGTTTTTGGTCTAGGGCCTGAATTGAAATCGGTCGGCAGACGACCAAGCCCAGTGCTCGATGGTGGGCCTTTCACCGCCCGGCTGTTGGGCGATGGACCAAAAGGCCGGGCGATGCGGCGGCAGAAGTCCCCAATTCATCAACTCATACCATCTCATACCTCAAGGGCATCGCTACCAACGGAGCGATCGGACGCTACGAACGTAGCTCCTGGCACTACTAGGAACAAGAAACACTAGTTGTATTTCCCCCTCTTCCTTCCAGAAACCTAGAAGGATCGATCGACCGTTCTGAGGTTCTGCGGCACTTTAGGCCAGGCAACGTCTTTGGCGTCTTCTTGTGTCATCACAAAGGTGGGCGACCTGGGATTCCGGCGTGGATCTGGGCTGCGTGGATCTGGTTGTCCAGCCCAGATCGGAGGGTTCCTTGCGGGGTCATCGTGGAACCTATTGGGACTGGGACTGTCTTACGCGACTGGGTTCAGACTGCCTGAAACGTCCTTCAAACGGGCCATCTGAAGCGCCAAAGCCACTCATACTTTGCATACATCGGCATACCCAATCACATCCAATCACCATCAATCACCCCACAAATGGATGGTCTTTGCCTCCACCACACTCGGGGCACACGTACGTACTTGTACTCCTTGGGGAGAACTTGTACTTGGCATCCCACGAGTTGTTTGTTGCTTGACAACCCAACCTCTTCATCTGGGGGTTTGGATCGCCCTGGCCGGATCCCCGGCCGTACGCGTCAGCGCTTAACGGCCCCGCCGGTTTCACTGCCGGAGGCGGCGCGGGCGCCTTGTGCCGGTGGATGAAGTTGATGGCTGCCCAGCACAGCAGCCGCCTGGTGGCAGAGTCCCAAAGGGTGGCTATGATACATATATATATATAGATAGTATGGTTGTCACCTTCAGCTAGCAAGGAGTTTGTATGGTTTTGTGAAGCTCTCAAATTGGTCATATATATATATATACCAGCTTCTTCAGTACGTGACCTTTTGAAGGTTCCTTTTCGTGACCCTGTTGGAGGCTTGTTTGTGACCGAACCAACCAGGTTATCAAGGACGGTCACTTTGAAGAACCAGGTGTATAAAAATAAGTAAACATATAGATAGTTTCTATAATTATAGGTGTAGGAACTATCTAGCAACTATATAGGGTTGGGAAGATTGGTGGAAAGTATGCCGGTGACTCTGCAGTTTGCTGGCAATGTGTTTTTCATTTGGTGTGCGTGCGTCCTCGCGACAGAGGGATTCAATCCATACGTAATGACTTACTCATCACGCATAGTGAAACAGGATGATAGACTCTGGGTCTTAAATATGGTCGAATGTTGTGTGTCAAAACCGGGGCAAATGTGGCTGTACCACCCAGTCAGTGACTACCAGACATGGTCAACCTAAATTGGTGGACCGGGGCTCCACATTTCGACCCATCCACGTGTCGACCCGTCACGGCACGTCTGTACAGTCCTTGAAATCATCGGTCCGTGAACCTGTGTGGTATTCAGAAAATGGTCATTCAAGGGGTCATGACATCCACTTCCAGGATTATGTCAGGGAGTGTATACGTCCCCTTACTTTTGTTTCTGTCCAACGGGCGCGGCTGGCGCAGGCAGTGAGATCTTTTTGGACTCAGATCAACTGGAGGTCGCACACGAACCGGGGACGAAGCGGGGTGACCGAAGCGTCTGGTGGTTTCAGGCCAGGTTCAACCTTTACTGACCTTTTTTGCCGGTGAGTTGAACCCACCAACCAGTATTGATTATTGAGGCCTGATGATTTCAGCTGCAAGTTGCTAGTTGTGATCAGGAGCGGGCCTGTGTGAACAATGGACCCAGAAGTCACTGCGACTCACTGGATGCGGGTGTGTGCACCAGAACAGGAAGACTTGTACCCGGACAGACCCCCTTTGAAAGAAAAAGTCTACTAAAACGCTCTGCAACAAACATGGAAGTGGAGTTCACCCCCTGTTTTGTATTCGGAAAATTGTCTTTCCAGGGGCCAGGACGTGCACTTCCATCAGGACGTTGCAGCGCGGGTAAAACTCTTGATCAATAAATCACCCCATATGAAGAGGTGTTTCAATTCCAAATTTGGGGAGGGTCATGAATCAAGAGCCTACATTAACTCATGGTTAACACATGGTGGAGCCATGGTTGGGAGCCATGTGACCTCACACCATGGTTGAGAGTGACTCCATCGGACTTCATCCTTCGGTTCACCATCGAGGTCACCGTCGATGTCTGTGTGACTAGAAAGGGGAAATTCCCCCAAAACGCGGGAAGCTCCCAGGGCAACTTGCTGTGTGGGCGGTGTGTAGAGGGCAAGTAGAGATATAATATATATGACCAATTTGAGAGCACAAAACCATACAGACTCCTTGCTAGCTGAAGGTGACAAGCATGTATTTGCCAGTATGCCCCCTTGAAAACTGGCAAACGTTGCGTTCAGCCCAACCCCCAGAGAAAATCAGATTGCATACTTGGCACCAGAAAATAAGACCCCGCCGTACATTGGCCTTTTACCATTGGTCGGTTGAAATTAAATCAGGGGATACCACCGGTCGTGGTAGACACCAAGTCTACCTGGCAAGAAGCTCCAGCCCCAAACCATCCCAAACCCCTCGATTCTTCGCTTCACCTGACTACCTCCACAGGACTTGGATCTGATTTTCGACACCATCCGAGCGAAGACCCGGAGCGTCGTCGTGGTCCTGACCTCGGAGCTCTTGCAGCGGATGTGGTGTGCTGGCGAGATCGTCACCGCCTTCAAGCGCCTTGTTGCGTGCGGCGTTGTTGGGATAGTTTGTTTTGCGGAGTTCTGGAAATTGACGCGAACGCAATAAGCCAGGAGGGCGAGGCATTTGTTGTGTGGTGCACTTGAGGTTGGATTGGCCAGAAGTCAGGTTTGAATACTAACAGGCCCATGACTGAAGCAGCAAGCGCTAGCAGCTAGCTAGCATGTGTCGTGATGTAATGTGTGTTTTTGCTTTTGTCGACTTTGAATGCTTCGTTGGTTTAAGAGCTTGAACGCTCAAGCAATCGGGATGAGTTCAAAGGCCACCAACACTCACCTGATAAGAGGAGTGTGCACCTGAAAAGCAGCAACATGCACACCCAGAACAGACCTAGCCTTTCCGTATCGATCGATCAGGATTAGGACCAGCCAAGCTGAGGCCGTCAACTCAGATGGTCCCTGCTGGGGGAGCGTTACTTCCCCGGTTCCAAGCTCACATAGAAACTGAAAGACCACTTCCAGGAGAGGAAGATCAGCTCTGACAATCTTCTTGATGGATAGGTCAAAAAGGGGCTTAGTTACGGTATTTGTATGCAGTATGTGATTCCCTTGTCCATTGGACTCCTGTCCACAGGTGGATGTGGTAAGGGTTGGCACTCTTAGAAAGGGGGGGCACATGTGGGCACTCCTCTCGTCATGAAAGGGAACAAGACACATCCCAAATCGTGTATTCCAAGATTGCCAGATTTCGGTATTTTGACACACCTTGCTCACCCATGATGGCTCATCTCATATTTCTCCGACCTCGTTGGGCAACTGCCTCACCTCGTGGAATCGCTCAAACTCGAATCGCTGGGCGATTCCACTGTTGCTGCATCAGCGCGCCGAGTCGAGGAATCACGTTTGCACCTTGCCCCTGGTGTGTGATGGCTATGAGCCCCTTACCGATGCCACCTTCATGGAAGTTCCCTCCGTTGCTTGCAACAATACTGGAGATGGATGGTTGAGTGTGAGAGTGTGAGATAGTGTCGCTGGGGAGAGTTTTGGAAATGGTTCGAACAAAAAGGTGCTTGGCTTTGCCACCGTTGAGACCCAAAGAACATCAAAGAAAATCATTGTAAGCTATCCAAACAACTAAATTGTTTAAACTTAATTACCCTTCTTCACATCACCAAACTCAAAAGAACAACGTGTAAACAACTGAACAGTGTCTTTCTTCACACGGCGTCACGTCATCACTTCTTAGCGGCTCGTTTCGCCAGCTGCTCCAGTCGTCCAGGTTTGGACCGAGCAACAGAAGCAGATCCTGGCCTTCTACGGCATCAGCATGGAGGAGACCGGGACGGTGGACGGGTGTGATCGGGTGTGAAAAACGGGACGGTGATGTGTGGACGGTGATGTGGATCGATGTTTTCGTGGGATAAACGGCGATTGGGCCGTTTCTGGGGCGATCTTGGAGTTCCGCCATCGCGATGATGATCTTAAATCCTGCTGTTTGATCGGATGGCATGGCCCCTTGCAAGGCTTTTTGTTGCCGTTCCCGAGAAAAATTCCATCGATTCAATCTGAATCTTACAAAACTGGTTTGGATTCCATCAGAATTCTGCCCTCCCTCCAGACATGGAAGTGGAATTCACCCCCTGTTTGTAGTGGAACATGGTCGTCCAAACTCGGGGCCATGCCAGTCACTCAAACCGAGAGTAGAGTCCCTTGGATGGTTTGCTTGGACGTCCAAGAGTTCATGCTTTTCTCGGTGGTTTTGGAGGACAAAAGAAGGCCAAAAGGGTCGACGCAAAAACGCGGCGGACGGTAAGGTTAGGCTTGACATGTTGGTGGCGAACGGGAAAGGCTGACTCGCGAGGTGAGCAGATATGTTCAAATGGAGGCCATGTGGGCAACCGCACCTGAATGTCTAGAACACAACTAGCAAGCCAGGGCCGCCAGGTAAAGAATTTTTGGGCCTTTGCTCCCGCCAATAAAGTCACATAGCCATGATGGGTTTGAAGGACAACCTTTCCTCCCGGTGATCGCCGGAGTATCGTTGTGTGAGTGTAACAGTGTAGCCACCCCCACCCCCCCACGCTACTTTTGCACCAGATCAACACTATAATAAGGTACTTGCCTTGTTGCAACTAAGCCCGCTCAACTCATGCAATGCCGCAAAAAAAGCTCATGATGTTTCAAACTTTAGCTTCCAGCTACAGTTAAAGCATGTTGAAGCTTTAAAGCATGAGTTACAGTTAATGCATGTGAATCACAAAGCTTAGTCACTCAGGATGTGATCCAGGCCTATCGCTGGCTGCACGGCCTTCAAAGCTTGACTCTGCAGCGGCGAAGCCCTGCCAGGGCTCGAGAGCAGTTGGTGGTGGAAATTTTGCAACGTGTGGCTTGGGACAGTGCACGATGTGTTTTCCGAGCTCGAATTCACCCGATGTTTACACTGAACATTTATGTTTTAATCATATGTCATATGTCGATTTTTTCTGCGTCCCGTTCCAGTTGCTTGGTCCAACCTTTGCAATATAGCAAGTCATGAGGTTGCCAATGGCTCCTGTTTTCTGTCCGAAGATCGTCAGGGGGTGGCACGGTGGCGATGCCCTGTGTTTCTTCTTGGGCACAGAGAGAGAGAGAGAGAGAGTGAGAGTGAGAGAGAGAGAGAGAGAAAATCTGGATCATTTGATGCCCTGCGGTTCTCACGGGCACACAGAAGAAAACTGGATCATCCACTGAGGTCAAGGTGCCGTTGAAGCTCTTCCGCCCCAAGATCTCCCATGGAAAGGTCAAGGCTCGTATCCTCCTCACGGGCTCCGTGAGCGATGCCGCTGGGACGAACAGACCGGAAGGAAGGCGATTGGGGGAGCGGTTAGCCTCCACGGGTGATGGGTGAAAAAAGTTGGAGAAAGATATCAATAATGTATATATATATATAGTTTAATCATATGATACCTGGAGCCTTCCAACTGTGCAACATTAGTTATATATGCAAATAATATTACGAATCATTTGAAGGAACAACGAAAACAACGATGTTGCATTGTTCGAATATCTTTTTGGTATTAAGAACGCTTCGACCATGCGATTCATTGCCATTCACATCCATGTGATGTGTTTCTGGGGGTGTTGATCGGAGCGACTGAAGATCGGCGGATCCAAAAGGAAAAAGGACAACAATCACCTGCAACAATTCTTGGTGCCCCAAAACCATGGTACAGTATCCTGTGGGTGGGTTTCAGAAGCGATGTTGTAACACTTATACCAGGATGCCTAGGAGTCCTAGTGGAACTATAATAAACTGATTCACGTGACCATACACCCTTCGTGTGACACTCGTGGCCCGCAGTGCGCCAAGGCGGAGGCTCTTTCGACCCTGGAAGTTTTTCAACATTTGCTGCAGAGGCAGGGAGGCTGCACTAGATATTGTATATAACTATATAACTATCAGGAAAAACTCCAAGAGTTATAATTATATATTAACAATAACTAGATAACTGTATATTTTCTGCGAAGCTCCAAGAGTTTAGGACTTTACAACTCTGTAAACCGTATTTTGGAGGGTCAGTAGGAGCAAAAGTGGTGCCCTGCAGTGCCCGTTGAGCTAGGGCGTGGACCTAACACAACACTATAACCATCACCCGCAATTGGTACCAACGCATTGGCTGAAGTCGGCTGAAGTGGCATTTTCTACGATGACTTCTTGGAGGTCTAGATTTGCCCTTCAACGTTGAAGAATGAACCCCCCCCTTCCAGATTGAACGCACCCATAGTGTTCTGTGTGCGGGTTCCCCGCCTGCCCGAGCACTGCGCGCAGCGAGCCACTGCGAGCCGCCTTTGGTTTCAGGCACCTGCGCAAGGAATGCGCCGTAGTGCGCTCGGGAAAGGAACTTCTGGCATACAAGCCCTGGGCCTACTACTTGGTGGCCGCTGGGTTGTCCAACGGAGCGGAGGAGTGGCGCTTGGGTGGATGAAGTACATTGAAGTACCCAACTTGGGTGCTTGTGGGGATCAGACATCAGCTGCCTGATAGAAGATCGTGGCACCCCATTTGCGCAGGTTTGCCAGGTTACTGGGCAACGTCCTCGAGGTTCCTTGTTTGCTGCCCAACGGGTTGGGAATTTGGTGCTTTCCCCGTTTTGCACCTCTTTGCATGCTTTTGGCCTCGCTCGTCCTCGCTCGTTTTGGGGAAACTTCCATTGAGGCAAAGGTCACGAAGATGGACCGGCAGGTCACCTCAGGTATGATCTGATGGATTTGATGCATGCAGCCCATTGACGCCCCAAGTCACTGAAGCCCAATGCAAGGATTAAATAACATATATACGCATATATTATATTATATACATATTTTACAATATAAGTATATATATAATACGTATAATATATATATATACAATATATATTTATATATGCACCACAAGCCTCAAAAAAACACAAGCGATTCCAGCCGATGATGTCGCATCAACGCATCGATGTGAGCCACACAACAAAAAAAGAGCTCGAGCTCCAAGGTGCTCCTCTCCCGTGGCATCCTGCGTGATCCGGGCTTTGCCCAAACCCTCCTGCGCCACGGCGACCGGCCTGTTGTGGTGGAGAGTTTGCGGTCTGTGGCTGCATACTGCACCCCACGAGATCAATGACCTCATTTTTCTGAAGTTGGTCATACAAAAAACACTACTCAAGGAGGTAAAAGGACCAGGTTCTACTGCTGGGTCTTTGGACTTGTAGGGGTGTGTTACGGTACGTTCCATCTAATTCTCATGTGATGTTTTGTCTACTGTTATGACTTGCTAAGCAGATGTAAGTTTGAAGCGTAGCAACCACTTCAGCGCTCAACCGGAGTTCTGGAACCCACGCTTCCAGTGCCACTCATTTTCACCTCAGGAGTGTCTACATCGAAGACTCCAAGCAGCCACGGCCATTGGAACTGGTGACCGTGAACGCTGACACGCAGTTTCAGCGCCTAGGTGATGCAGTCGCCGAAGCCGAACCCTTCGGAGCGCCTGAAGAAACTGGGATTCTTTCATGATCAGAAAGAGATGCTGTGGTCATGATGGGCGAGGGAGGCGTTCGATTTTTGTTTGGGGGGGTTCCGACTAGGTGTGCTTGATAACCTGCAAGTGGGTGGGTGCCTTTTTTAGGGGGCCGGGCCAGTCAACCATTTCCAAGTATTAAAGACTATCGTTTGAACAGGGTTACCAGCCCACACTCACAAATGAATTTCATCGTCACCACCCGCATCCCTTACCGCCATTATCATCAGCAGATTGGGAATGGGAGGGGCCACACGCAATGCCACGCGTCAGTGGTTTTGCAATAGATGGCACTATCCCAAGAGATGGTTTCCTTGGAGCCGCCATCCACGGCTATGTGCATCCTTTGCAAGCCGACTATATGTGCACAACATGGCAGTCATTAGATGGATCCACGCACTGTGTTGTACCAGCAGCAGTTGACCTGAGACTTACCCTCCCCCCTATACCCAGGGAGGCGGAACATGCCCTACTCCAGGCACTCCATGTATGCCAGTCCCATGGAGTGTTTAGCTGTTCCATGCTGTTCCATGTTGTTCATGTTGTTCCTCGGGTCCACCCTGAAATACTTCAGTTGCACGGGGTCCTGGTTGGGGGTGGGTATTCCTCCACGCCGGGTGGGTCGCCGCTCAGCTTCTTCAGGTTTCCCAGCCCCGAGTTCCTCGTGGAGGTGGAAGAGCACGGCACCTTGGTGGCAGATGACGGTGTGGATGGATGACGGGATGTCTCATCCACGCGATTGTGTTGTTTGCACGGCTTCAAGGTGTGCCATCCTGAGTAAGTCAGTGGACATGGTGAATGTGGTCTTCACCTCTTACCGAATCGGTGAAAACCACGCCCGAGACCCAGACCCATGAGACCCTCTTCTGGCCTGAGGTCTTGGTGGGCCTCTCAGTGCTTTGGGCCCGGAGCTTTCAAAGGCCTATCGCGGTTTGCTGCCGCTCGACCGAACGGACGACCACTGGTCCACGGAGCAGGTGGAAGCGGGCGGGGGAAATGTGGCTCCAGGACCGAAGTTCGGAGCCCGATGGTTTCGGAAATCGGAAATCGGGTGTCGGGAGAGAAGAGTATGGCGTTTTCACGCTTGAAGCCGTGGAGCCGTAGAGCCGAGCACTTCGGCAGGCACATTGAAAGCCTAGGCTACAAAGTAGCTGGGATGACCATATGCTACCGAACTAGCCGACCGGCTACGGTGGACTGTACATTACTGCACTTCAGGTGTGTCACTTCATTCATGTGCCGGGATGAACATAGCTGACACATGCTGACACTAATTAAATCTAATTAAGATGCTGGGGAGGTGTGTGTGTGTGTGTGTGAATTTATGGGTTTGTGCAGCTTGGCCATTCCAGCGGCAACTCTATCATAGTAGGATGATGTGACGATGTGTAAACATGGGGGCAAGCAATCGCCGTGGGCTTGCCCGGTTGAGAAAGGACTCATCGGCTGCTGGGTTGATTTCAGTTGTTTGTTGGCAGGTGACTTGGCCACGCAGTGTTTCTCCCGAACTGAGGAATATCTTGGCACTGCCCTTGTCGCCCATGGCATCACAAGGGTTTCCTGGACTGATTCAGTGTGTGGCACGTGTCGAAGGGCGTGGTGCGTAGGGGAAGAACCGGGTGCACATTCTTTCCATCCACACTTCAGCCATTCTTTGCAGTCGCTCTTTATATATTATAATATATATATATACCAGCACCCTCACTGCCAGGTCACCACCTGCCACTTTTAAGTCTGCAAAAGCCACTAGAGGAGACCTGTGAAGTCGGGTGCTGATATATAATGTGTGTGTGATCTCACTGATCTCATCCTAAAACCTGGCTTTGGGAACGGACGCTGCTTTGAGAAGGAGGCACCTGGTGGGCATTCGAGGCTGACGTTCCCCATTCCGTGACCAACATCGTTTCCAGAAATGATGTAAAACAGAAAACATCAGTAAAGTGAGAAGAGCTACGCTTGGGAAGGCAACTGAGCAATAAACCAGCGACAAGTCAGACAACAATTGAGTAAATAGGGAGAGGGAGGAAACATGAGGACACTATTCCTGTCACCGGCTGCACAAAATCTTCACATAATATCATATGTTATTCTCAAAATCACGTCATTAATCTATAGGTCTCCAGTATGGTGACTTTTGCCAGTGCAAGTGCAAATGTTGGAACGGTATGCGCAACATAGGTTTCGATCCATACGCTAGATCCGTACTGGTCCTGGCAGTAGTCATGCAACAGAAACCAAACAAACACCGGACCTTTGCAAGAACATGTGGTAGATCTTCCAACCGTGTTCATCCATTTTCCACCTAATTACTGGCGTTTCCAGGCCCGTCTTCATGACTGTTTTGGACACACCGGGCACACGGCCCAGGCTCTTGGAGCGGCAGACGGCGGAGGTGTGCCGACGCTTCCGGCGCTATAAGAACTCGGTCTTCGCCCCTCAAAGTGATGGGTGGAGGGATGGGTGGACGCGAGGAGTAGGTCCTGGGGAGGCGTGGGTCCATTGTTTTACTCGAGATTGCATCAGGGTCAACCAGGTGAAGCATTTTTAAGGTCAAGCAAGAGTCCGCTATAAGAATGATTGAATTGTTAGCCATCCAAGCGAAGATGCGAGAAAACCCATCCGGTGCGGAGCGTGCGGGTGCTATGAAGCGAGTCAACGGCTTTGGGATGTTTGGAGGGGATCCTTAAACCCTAGGGCTCCAGCTCCTCAAAAGGTACGACTGGACCCTCCTGGCACCCACCCCAGTTCCACCTTCTCAGCAGGTACTTGGAGCCCTAGGGTAAAGCATATTAATGCCAAATTCCCCAGATCCTGGTGGATGAGTATCCCCTAGGGCTCCAAGTACCTCCTCAGAAGGTATCTGGACCCTCTGAACCCACCCCAAACACTTGAGAAGGTACTTGCTTGGAGCTGTAGGGATCCTTAAAGCATCCTTAAGTCGACCTCTTTTGTTCTTGAAAAAGCGTCCCAGGATGGACCCACCGAACTGGGAGAATGTGCTGCCCCTGTGCTGTTCATGATGTTTCATTTAGTTAGTTACCCAGACACTCCATCATTATTTGATCATATGTTTGCCTACATTGACCCCACAAACCACACCAATGGAGGCACATATTCCATTGAGTGTTTGGTGCATATTGCTTAGGAAAATGCCCATCAACGGACCAGGCCAACGACGAGCCGCCAGCGACGCCCCGTCGCCGGGCTTTGGGGTGGTTCCTGTTTTAGGGCACCGAGGAACGTCCAAAGCTTCAAAGATGCGATGACATTGGCAGATGGGCCGAGGTATGTCAATCTAGAGTCGCTGCTTTTGGGTGAGCTTCATGACTTCACGCCACGAAAGGTCCTGTTCTTCGTGAATTTCTACCATCAAGGGCAACCACTCAAGGTCCTCTCCCCAGGGCGCCATCCAGGGCACGTCTCGCATCTTCACCCGCAAGGCTGCAGCAATGGATGATGAGGACGATCAACATCTGGAGGGAGACGGTGTGGATCCCGAAGAAGTGGGCCCCACAAGCCAGGAGGAGCAGGAAGAAGACGCTCGCTGTATTTTGGCTTCGCATGCTGGTTGGCTGAGGGGTTATCGATGCTGCTGTAGTTATTGCTGTATTCTTTGTAATCTGTTATTGCATATATAGCGGTAATATAGCATGTTTAAAAGCACATGTTGGATATGTTGTGGATGCGCAGTCAAAAGGCTCACATCCTGATGATCGCGCCGAAAAGCCAAGTGCCAGCAAACACAGCGGAAGCAACCAAAGTTTCCGATACCATCACCCTCAGAATGTGATTGATTGAGAGTGGTGGACGTTCAGGGTAGAATCAAACATTGCTGTCATACCGGGAAATTTTGACAACTTGACTGAGACGTGATGTTGGCGTGGCCGGTGGTGAGGGTTGATTGAGGCATGTATATAATGCCGATGGTAGGGGGGCTGTGTAGTTTCCCGCCAAGGATGCGCAGATGTTTAATCGAGAAGAAGTGAGGAGCAGTCTTCAAGCTGTGGGGAAGCGACTTGACAGGCAGGTGAGAGAGGTGCCCTTTGAATGGTCCAAAACATGTTTGATCAAAGTCTGTTGTGGAGTCAAGTATTGCGAGATTTTGCACTCAAGAGTGCACACCCCAAAACCCCCGAAGATGGACATGAAACTTGAAAGATTTGAAAGGATCGATCGGACCCTGACAGATCTGGGTTTAACAGTGCGTTTACCCTTGGAAGTGGCTCGATCTGGAGAATGATTCGCAAGCCAACACCAACGGTGCCATGGTTGACCCACTGTCACAGATGTGCTAGGAGCGGTGTGTGATAGGCATTGCAGTGCTTTCAGCTGGCACTGGCACCCCTACATGTCTTTTAGGTGGGGGTTCACAGAAACCACTTTTGGGTCATTGTGCTCGGAAAACCGGGACCCGACAGAGAAACGCGCCATTTTGCAAGTGAAAAAAGCCCTGGGCCATCCTGGACCATTCACCACCATCGTTTGCCTGTGCTGATGTTCGGAAGGAAGGAAAGCCAGCACCACCTCACACAAAAGCTCCAAAAACAACAGTTGGATGGTGGACATCATCAATATAGTTACTATAGTTGATCTAATCTACTCACTTGATGGATTTTCACCATAGTTCACTTCTATAGTGCATATGATGTCATATGTCATTTTCCCACCTGCCTGCCGTTGGCGCGCCTGAGGCCCATCACCTGGACCGAAGCGGGCGCCACGGTGGAGGGCATTTTAGTCCCGGACGCGGCGCAGCCGTCGGAGCACGCGGTGTTGGGTGCCGTGGTCTCGAGCGACGTGGATGTGGAGAATGATGTGGTGAAGACTGAGCTTTAGGGCCTGGTTTGGGCAAGGTTTGGGCCATTTGAGCTCGCAAGCACCTGCTCTGGCTGCGTGGGCTGTGCAGGTTCTTCCATTTCCTGGACTCCAGGAAATAGGATGAATGACTCTGATTGAGTTGGAGAGCATGGAGTTAGGTTAGTACCTCCCCTGATCAGTTGGGCCCCCTGGAGGTTCAGAATGAGTTGCCGTGACTTTATATCTCAAGACATCGAACCGGGGTTCCGCCGCAGGTTAAGCCTGCCAGGTTGCACCCTTGAAGTGCTCATGTGATGTCTCGTTTGGGGTTGATGTCTCGTTCGAGAACGAGATTGAGGATTTGGGAGAGTTAGAGATGTTAGAGACCCACCAGAGAAATGCAACTTGCCATATTCCCTTTGCGCTTGGATCGGGCACATCAACCCTGAAACCTACCTGCTTGCGGCTTGCAGACGTGCAGAGAAGCTCAAAAGAGACGACGCGCCATGCGACCACGCGATCGGTACTTCGCCGGGTCGGTCCTGCGAACTCGGATCGTTCAGGCGATGAAGACAGCTCCACAAGCCCTGTGGTGCTTCATTGTTCGGTGCCCTGGGCGGGGAGTAAAGCGCGGGTTCGGCTTGGTGAGCACCAAGGCCATGGTTGCTGCATTAGAGCCTTGAAGGGCTCAAAGTTGTTGATACATTTTGAGATATCACCATTGTTGATACATTTTGAGGCTCTAATGATATTTTGATACATGTGATGTCATGATATCTTGGTGCAACCTTCATTTGTGCTGATGTTTTGCCTCACATTCCCATAAATGTCCGGCCCTGGACACAGCAGGCCATAATTATTCAACATTTGCTTGAAGGTGAGACATCCTAGAAACTGGTCCACACATGTCAGGTCATCCCAATGCATCCCGCCTCAGACTTGGGTTGCAGCTCCAACAAACGACCACCGAACAAAAGAATCGAATCTGTACCTGATACAGTATTTGTTTGGATTTCACTGCAGAGAGGAGCCCTGCAACTCCCGCAATGTGGCAAGAGTTGCAAACCAAAGGTTTCAACCCACTGGATGTGGCGATTCTGTGCATCAAGATCAGATGGGCTGAATGTTTGCAGCCGTTTTTACTCAGGCCAAGTTTCTTCTACTAGAAAACCTGGTTAAAGCCAGAGATTCCTAAGCTCGAGCTGAGCAAGCAAGCAAGGAACTCTACATGCTGGCTCGCCCTCGCACGTGTGAAAACGCAATTGCATTGCCCACACAACTGTTCCATCAATGAACTACAAACTATCCCAGGAACCTATGGATATTTGTCCACCCCGCAGCTTCTTCATGACTTCAGACCCCTTGTTCGGCCTTCCTTTCACCACCAGTGACTATGTTTCATCCCGCTACGTCGAACTCCTTTCACCATTCTTGGCTCTGAAGAGAAAAGTCTCACTCCTCCTGCTCCGCCGCTTCACGCGCGCGCGAGCCGCCACGCCATGGCCTCGCCCGATGAGCTGGACGCAGCCTCCGTGGCCTCGCCCCACGCGTCTCCCGAACACCGCGACGGGGCGCGCGAGGCTACCGAGCCCTGCGTCGTGTGCGGAGGGCCCACGGTGCTGTGCTGCAGCGGTGGCCGAGTCGGAGAAAGGGGGGGTGGTATTGGAGGTGTTAGGAGCTCGAGTGAAAGTTGACTTATGTTGACTTACTTGTTGATATCAAAAACACCATGGAGATGTAACATAGGCTAAATAACTTAAACCATTCTGGAGACCGGTGGGTTTATTGATGGTTGAATTGCATGACCATTGCCAGGCTGAGGAGCCAGGCGGTCTTGTTCACAAAGTATACTTTGGCACTTTGGTGTGTAAAAGGGAAAAACATGTTCAAACCAGCTTGGGAATTCTTCAAAGACTTGAGCTCCGCGGAGCTGATACGGCTGAGAGCCGGAACGTCTCAGTTCCGCGGCGGAACGTTGGTCTACTCAGCGACACGGGCGACATGAGGAGCCAGCGGGAAACTCCTGGGTCGTGGAGGAACATGGTCTTTCTACGGGTGAAATCTCAGGTTCTTAGTTGGTGGGGGGTATAGTCACATTTATATGTGTACATACATACAGACATACAGACATACAGACATACACACATACATACATACATACATACATACATACATACATACATACATACA